TGAGTATGACGTATGCAGAGTTGATTTTGTGCCAAAGCATGTCTCTGGAGCTGGTTGGAGAAACGTACGGTCAGTCTGCGTGCAGGTTTTAATGCTGCAGCACTTCTGGTCTAACTCTGCCTTCAACACAACATTATCCCCGATACATGCCTACCATCAGAAAATGGCATGGGCTGAAGAAGTTGGTCTCGCAAGAGCCCACCCTTGGGATGGGAACAGGGTTATGTGTTTGTTGTTATTGTTCCCATTACAAAACAGACAAGCTGGAGGAAAACTGTGAGGCAGATAGTGTTTACACCCAGTATATTGCTTTTTTATTACTCTTAAGAGTTACTTGCAACAAGGTGTAACTTCAATTCCAACTTGTAAACTTCAGATGATAATATGAACTTATGTTCTTACAATGTAAGAGCTTTCTTTATATGGGATAGCCGCCAGTTTTGAGAATTATTTTTGTCTGTATAGACTAAACAAATATCTGTTGGTGATAATAGATCATCTGAAAAATGCAGTTGACGTGTCTTTCTTCAAGTGTTTTATTTTCTAGTGTACAACTTCTTTGTGCAGTAAAATGACCCCGAAGTGCCTGTAGAAGTGGTACAAAACAGTGGCCTGGTGGATGCATTGCTTACATGACCATGCCTTTAAAAAGGTGAATTCTGGAGTTAGGAGTACTTCTTTCTTTATTACATAGTACAAATATATTGTCCACTTGCAACAAAACCCCAGCCTTTTCTAGACACCATTTCTGTATTCCCCTAGACCTGAGAAGAACCAAAAAATACAGGCAGCTGTGCCCAAAAAAGCCGATGTCTGTGGGTAAAATACTCAGCTGCATTGTCCTGTTAGGGGTCTACTTTACTGCAGATAGTTGAACAGCTGCTGAACGTGATTTGGGAGTGTATTTTGTGGTACAGACTGATAAGTCTGCCTCTCTGGGGGTTTTTAATAATTTCTGCAACTTCTGCAGAAAGCAGGACAGAGAATCTGTAAGTCAGAGACAAAAATTTCCCTCTGTTTGGGCTTTGTCTTTTCTTCTAGAATTATGAACCAGAGCCATGTAAGCCCTGCTGTTGCTTCATC